TCTTTTTTCAGATGTCACTCATTTATCCTCAAGACCGAGTTGTTAGTTATCATTATGCATCTCCCCAGCTCCCACAACTCATGCATTATTGTATCTAAACTATTTATGTCACTTGATACAAAGAAATAAAAGAAAAGTCATCGGTTCTTTATTATTTTTTTGACCGTTCCTGAAAGGAGCACATTAGCCCTTCCTTCAGCCTGTCTGCGAGCACTTGAGCCCTCTCAGCGAAATCATAAAAGATATTATTTTATTGGCCTTTCCGCCTAAAATTGAACAGATTTTGAATCCACAGGGGGACCTCACACTAAACTATTTTGGTTTCCCATAAACCTTAAAACTACCATTCCAGCAAAGTTCAACTGCTCATTTCAAAATCAGCAGTATGTGAACCCCCTTAATACAAGGATCTGTGCTCAGAAGCTGGATTATTCATCACATAGTATTACTGATTTTTGCTCTTGGGGAGTGGCAGGGGTGGGCAGCACTGCCCTAAACTGATGCTTTTTGAGGTACAGTGGCAGCACTTGTCCCTTCCTTACAAGTTACACTTCCACCATGTAAGGACATTGCTGTCTTTGACAGCTGGAGACCATGCTGACTATCTAATCTGGGAACTGGGATTGAGTTGGCAGAATGTCTTGGTGGGAAGTTGTTTTGAGGAAAATAAACAAAAGGAGGACTTTGCACCAGAGGAACCATGTCAACACCTCATCTTTTGGAGGGCACCCTACCTGTGGATGATTTCCAACTCCTGGTCAGTATGACCATTAAATTCTTGCTTACACCTGCCAACACCTACTGCAAGTTGCCAAGTGTTCTCTCTCAACCAGCATATCCAATCATATGTCACTCAACATCAGATCAAGTCACTGATCTGCAACATTGGATGCAACTGGTCACTCTAATTTCTCTCTCTATCTTCAGCGATCGTCTTTGTAGAATACCAACTCCAGGCTCACTGGGAAAATTTCCCTTAGTACCAATAGATTAATACCCCGTACATGTTGCAATAAAAAAACACTACTGATAAAAAGCTCATCTAGGGTTGTCCCTTAGTGCTGGGAGCTTGCTTTTCAGCAGCCACTGTTTCTTCTACCACATGCCTGGCCAGTTGCCGGATGTTCGCAGAGGCCTCCCAACACTCGGCCAGACCCATTATCCAACATGCCCCATGGTTCCCGAAAATCCAGGTCATCAAGCGTTCTATAAGAGTCAGTTAACCCTGACGAAGACTACTCACACAACCCTTTGTAATCTCTCGTGGGTTGTGTAGACTGCACCAAGCATCTATGTATGTGCAGTACATACCCTCCGATAAGCAGACAGGTGATCCCAGCGAGCCTTAGTATTACCAAGATTAGCCAGGATTCCTTAGAAGTCAGAACCGGCAGTTGGACCGACGGCCGTTCAAGCCTCAAAAAGCGTGCAATCGTGAAAACAAAACGTAGCCTTTTTGAAACGCCGATCTACGGGCTCGCTAGGGGTTGCATGGCTGATGATGCGATTGATTGCAAGACATCCATGTTGAGTCTCCTACTTGTTTGTTTCCGGCCTACTGGCTGAGTCGGACTCGGTAGTGCGTTAGTAATATCAGTGAGAAACCGTCTACAACATGTGGAGCATGCCAAGTTTTTTTTGTAACATTTCCCGGTTGCAACCCATCTTCCCTGATAGAAACTGCCTATGATTGGCGTCCAGAGCGAGCGCTGCTTGCTCGCCAACATGTTCAAGTTATGAGATGCCACAACTTACAACCTTCTGGAAGAACAAGGGCAGTTGGAGCTAGTTGGAGTCCTGGATTCTTGGAATGAACGTCAGCAAGCCTGTGCAAGATGTCGAAGATGCAAAGATACCCAAGGCCAGAAACTTCCAACTCGTACCAGAAAAGTGATTGCTGTAGTACACTCAAGTGACTTCGGCTGGGTCATCTCGGATACTTTGCTCGGTCAGTATGTGCTTTGCCTAGCGGCAACTTTGTCAAGAACGTTGTTGCTTGGGGAGGGGGGAGTTGGGCATATTTATATATCGAGGGTCGCTAGCGCCGCCAGGAGAAAGGAAGAAAGGAATCACCCATTTTGAATAAGGCATCCATGTATGACTTCCTTTCAAAGAGCCCTCGGGTCCTCGAAAGACATCCTCCCGGTCACAAACTCACACTGAAAACTTTAATAAGCTTCCATACCCAAGATCTCCCACGTCCCAGAACAAATAGCGCTGGATAATAACCTAAGTTTATACCTCGGTCCATCGTCCGTATATTGTTCTACCCCCAACAAACATCCCGCACCGGCGCACCGTAGCACCTCAGGTGATCGATTGTTTGGGGAGGGCCTTCAAGCTCTCTGCAAGGCCCTAACCAAAAGTTGAGGGCTTCCAGTGCTCTCCCTTGCCCGCAAAAATACAAACTTCAGACTCCAGTCGTCTCCATCGAAACCCCCCATCTTATGTACAAAGTTACATATTATTTACCTATTATTTGGGTTCATCCAGTCCAATACCTGCTTGAATGAGCTCTTGAAGACGTTATCTCCCTACCATCCCTATCCGCTCCTTGGTGCAATATACAATATCTTCTGTTGCCTGTTTGGATCTTTTTTTTTTCGACTACACCACCCACGTATTTACATATCTATTTATCGGTACCCACCCGCTCGATCACCGTTTCTTACAAAATCCCTTGGAAGTTTGGTTCTCAACCGTGAGCCAACTTAATTCGCAGATCACCGTCAAGTTTCCTAATCCACCGACGGCCCACATTTTGTGAAAAATTAAGATCGACTATAGGGGTGCCTTTTCTCGTCCGATCCATTTCAATTTTCAAATGGAGTGTCCTTCTTTATGCAGACGCGTCAGTACGCGAGCCGGTGTCTTCTCGGCAGCCCACCGCCACCATTCAACTTCAAATGCTTCGTGTCTACCTTCATCTTCTCGCCCCACAACGCCCATCGTCATTTCGCCAGAAGTGCTAGGAAACGGATCTAAACCGATATCCGACCCGCGCCTTTCGAGCCTGATGACCTCCGCCGCCTTGCAATCCTCCCCCAGCTCGTCACTCTGTCCAGCCCTCTCGTCGACTCAAATTGCAAATTCAGGAGAAGGTCAATTCTCTGACGCTGGCAGTGATCAGGAGGAAGCTGCCGATAGGGAAGCGCACAAGAGGAAGAGAGTCAAGCTGAACTCTTTTCACTCGACGCGAGAAAGCCTTCTTCCCCTTCCGACGAAGAGCAGTAGTGCCCAAGGACCGGCCTCAAGAAAAGAACATGAAACCTTCCACCATCTTGCGGATGCCAATGAGGATCAGGACACTCCAGAAGTTGAAGTTGTTGGTGGTGGAGTGGGCCTGCCGCTCAATACGGAAAGTGCAGCAAGCACGAACAAAGGTCTTCGAAGTACCAGACCTGCAAAATCGAGCCCAGCGACCGTTGCTAACCAAACAGCAAATACGTATGATTGCAAGGTGAGTGTTGGTGATTCTTGGGCTAAACATTCGATATGTATTCAATTCTCGATTGTTTTTGTGTTTGTTTTTCGCTTCCATCGTCCTTCTTCAGGGTCAACTTCCTATGGCTACTCGAAGACTGGCCATGTTGGTGGGCATCCCGGAATCCTCGCAAGCCATCATCCAGGTGACTACTTCTCCTTTACACTTGCCGCAATTTTCGATTCAAGGAAGCTGACGAGTGTTCACAATTCTTTAGAGTACCCTGTCTCTCCCGTCTAGTCGCTCGAAGCTTAGCAACAGTCAATCTTATGGTAGCACACCTGTGGGTCTCTCAGTATTCTAGCTTGCGCATTTACACGTACTCTATTGAGCTTGTCCGTTTCTTCCATGAATTTCAGCGAGCTGGTACGAACCCCCAAGGCACGGCATGCCTTTCAACTTCGGATAGTTTGAACTGTGTTAGTTGCTCTTTAACGCCATATGAAATTTGACTCGAAGCCTGATTTCAGAATCTTGCAGCCTGTTCCTTCCTCCTCCGCTTCCAATGACTGCACCCCCCGCTATCCCAAACCACCCTCATCGGCGGGTGCAGCTTGTAGCTCTCCAAGGGATTTTTCGAACTATGGCGCCACTGTCAACGCACGGCCCGTTGCAGCACGCAGGTGCGCGTCAACATCTCGCGCAGTCTCCGGCCTTACGCCAAATACGACAGGTCTGTACTTCACTGCGCCTAATCTCACACATCGGCTCATGTTATATGTGTAAAATATTGAAAGTGTGTTCAACTTGTACTTCTTTGTTGATGCCAGTAGACGGTGGATCCCATCAGGCGTCACGTATCTCTTCACACGGCTCGAGTTGCGACACACGCGTCGCCAATCAGGATTCCCGCTCGGATTCAGTTGCCCCGCGTTATGGACGTGCATCCAGTTCTTGTGACGATTATACAATGCCCGCCCCCGGAAGCTTCTCGATTCGTGCACCTCCGGCCGCACAGCTGCTGCAACGTTATGATCCTTCACTATGCTCGGAGGCATCCGAAGTGACGAGTCGGGGGGCAGGTCATCAGCTCGAATCATTTGAAGAAAGTTCCGAATTCGATGGTTCCAGTCAGCCCCCTAGTACATGCCCTGCCCAAAGTCCCAGTGCATGCTCCTCCCAAACTATCATGGTCTCAGTACTTCCATCGATGGCTCACGGAAACCCCAACAAGCGCAAGGCGAGGACTAGCCGATCACAAACGGCCGGAAGTGATAATGGACTATCCGAAATCGAGCTTGTGAAGCCGCCACCGACGATCAATGGGAAAGTCTCACATGGGCGCAAGGTGCCAGTTGGCTACATCAAGCGGACACCAAATTCATTCTTGATGTTTCGGTCCCACGTCATTGCCAACAAGTTACTACCGCCTGGGGTCGAGAACGATAACCGGCAAATTTCCAGAGTGGTGTCGGGCCTTTGGGCAGGGCTGAGTGAGGAGGATTTGCGATCGTGGCAGACGGCTTCGAGAGAATTGAGGGCAGCCGCCCGCGCCAGGAATCCCGGCTTGAAGCATGCTCCTAACCAAAAGAGGAAGGAAGTAGTCCGCCGTCGACGAAGTGGCCAACTGCCTGGCGAAACACCCGAACAGCGAGTCGAGCGAGAGAAGGCATCTGCGGCTGCAGTGGCCAAAGGGATCATCAATTCTCGAGGAGAAAAACTTGGCAAGGGCAAGATGGTACCATTACCGGGTAGTTCTGCACGACCTTCCACTTCGAACGCGGTCATTCATCCTCGTGATGATCCAGTGCGTGACACCAGTCGCCCCGAATTCCGTGCCCCGGTTCACTACTTCTGCCAGCCAGGTAATGGTCAAGCAGCCACCCCACGGTCAGACTATGCCGAGTCCACCCTGACGACTTCCCCAGTTGCCGAGGCCCGTCGATCGCTGTCGTGCGTACCGGAGTCTGTTGCAGATGAGTCATCAGCTCGACAAGCCCCGATGACTGCATCCGAACTCTCAACCGGACACCAAGACGTGGAAATGCTATCCCAACCGCAACAGTCCCACATGATCCATCAGACAACCCACCAAGGAGCTCAACAGACACCAATAATTCATCCAGTCAACCTGGATCCGAGGATGGGGTACACAGCCAGCGAACCATCCCAAGCTACTGTCCAACAGGACCCCAGACTGTCGGTTTCTTCCTCCGGCCCTCCCGTTGCCAATCAGAACGGGCTCTCGCTCAACCAGCCCGATACGGAAGCATACTCGGGATTATTTTCGCATGTAGGCACTGGGCTTGACGTTCCGGGAAGTTTGCCTGCTCCGTTTTCGGACGAAATATGGCGGTCACTCGGTTTGACAACCTCAGACTTGACTCCAACTCAACCGACAACCAGCTCTCTACCGCCGCCTACGACAGCTACGATGCATGATAACAACTTCCATGGAAAGAGCTTTGCGATGAGAGACGATAGTCAGAACCAACTTCAGAGTTCCCCTTTTTGGCCCCAAGGGACTGGATTCAACAATCTCGTGAATTCCAACCCGGCCGAATATCCGTTTCGGGAGCCTGCAGTTTCTGAACACAGTTCGCAGATCAGTGGGTCTGGGGCCTCGCAACAAACGACATACCCCTTACGGTCCCAAGGCTCTCAATCGGACTGCTCAAAGCCGCTCGAGTTCAGTGCATTGATCGACGATTCCTCCTTTTCGGATCCGTTGAAGTCCGACGGATTGGACTTCGACTCCATGTATCTCAGTTACCAGTCCCATTCGGCTTCCAACCAGGCCTTGGAAGACGCCTGTCAATCCTTGACCACCAACAATCTCGCCCAGAACACTTTGGACAATAATAACACTTCTGCAGGGCCTACTCTTAACCAGGATCACCAGAAAGAGTTTTGGGTGAATTCGTAGGATTCTATATTCCCTCAGGAATCCGTCCTTCCTCACTACCCCTTTTTTTTGAGACTTGCGCAGTCACTGACACCACAGACATTTTCGAGCCGTCGATTCTAACTTCCAGCGGTAGAAGATCCGTTAAACCATCCCTCAACCAATCAGCCTCCCTCCAAACTGCTCAATAAAGTTCTTCATTCGAAACGCTCCTTCCAAAGCTCTATCAACTCGTTTTGTCGTTAGATATATATATAAAAATCAATCAGGCTGTAGTCTCTACCCTGCATCGTCACCCAAGTCACCCCCAAAAAAAGAACAAAAAAAAACCATTTTCTTGAATTATCTTCGTGCTCTTTTTTTTTTTATCTTGCATCTATCTTTTTTTTCCAATACTTAATGATCTCATTGACTTCGCAAAAAAAAAGAAAATGTAGTTACTTATTCTTTTCCATTTTTTTTTTTTTGGTATTTTCTTGAAATTTTGTATGTCTATCTTTATATGATGATCGTTTATTTGGCTTGCACGATTCATTACGTAGAGCCCTCCATTTTCTTGACATTGCTGCACAGTTCCATGAATTTCTTTTTTTCCCCCCTTTCGCATCCAAATAGTTACATTATCCATCTACATTGCATTGCATTGCAAAAACACAAAAAAGAAGAAATCGTTGAAATTAGTACAGTTACATATTCTATCAATTGTTTTTTTTTTCCTTTGCGAAAACTTCTTAGAATCAATTCGTCCTTTTTTTTATTACTATATTGATCCTCGCTATCCTCATGAACCGTTGTAAATTATCCTGTTTTTTTTGCATCTTTTACTTGAAGTTGTCTTGCTTTGTCTTGTATGAAGATTTGAGCTTGCCTTAAGATCCTTGAACCAAATTCGCAAGTAATTTCCATCTGTATTCACAGAATGTTATACATCTTTTGACTTGGTTGTTCTTCTATTGCTCAATTAGTGAATTATAATGGGGGGAACAATCCCCCTTTTTCTCTTATTCTCGTTTTTTTAATACTTTTCCAGACAGTAATTCCTTGATCATTGATCTTAATCAATCAATACCAATTCAAAAATCTGCCAGTAAAGATAGTATACCATGTAGAGCAGTTTGGGTAGAATGGACATCGTACATCTTTCAGACTTGATGCAAATGAGCTGAAAAGATATAGGATGATCTATAGATTGTGGAATCAAAATTGAGCTGGATTGAAGGTGCTTATTATTTCAGCTCAAGTTCTCGAATGGTCCATTCTTGTGCTTGGCCAAGGGTAACACATGAAGGGTGAGACCATCATGAAGATATGAGGATTGGTGTGTGTGTATGTATTATGTATCTGCAAAATGGTCTGGTCCCAATGAATTTGGTGTGAGTCTCTGTGAATTTACTCATTCGCGGGTAGAAAATTCCCTTGGTCGATGGATCGTGTGATGTTTTTTCTTTTCCAATCTGTTTTTCCGTTGAGGTTGTGGGGTTGGGTTTTCCGGTTGAGTGTTGTTTTGTTTTTGTTTTTTTGGAAGTTGATGCTGTTTTTTTTTTTCGATTCTGATAGTCTCAAAATGGCAAGCTAAAGTACAATCCCAACAAACAAACAAACATTATTGTTTTTTTTTTTTTTTTGGCCCGGTAAACACAACACAACTTTCTAGCCGTCGCTTGTGGGTGTCCATCGTCCTTCATCGCCCCGGTCCGACTTCTGACTCCATCCATCGGTTCGTCTGACTCTGCTAGCACGTACGTGTGTATTCCACATTCTGATATAATAACCTTCTTCTTTCCTTTTTCTTTTCTTTTCTTTTGTTTACTGACGTCTGATTAATCAAATTCTCCCAACCTCACAGTAATAGCACAGCATCAACGCTTACGTAGCCTATCGCGCTTCCTCGTCTGCTCACTTCCTCCAGCCTGGGCTCCTCCTTCCCCCCCTGCACTGCCCTCAAAACCATCCCAATCGATCCCCTCTGTCGAAAGTGCAAGAGAAATAAATACCAGGCCCAAAACTATTCACACAGCCATTCCAACACTCAAGCACCCCCTCCATCTCAGGCTCAGCTCCCTCCTCACCATTCCTATCCGGCGCGTCTCTCCTCTCTCCAAGCATGTCACACTGCACTGCGGCCGAAACGATGACCGCGACCAACTCGCGCACCAGACGACCGATGAGCACCAGCATCATCCCCAGCCTCTCACTCGACAGTCGCCCACCACTCTCCTCCAAGCGCGCTTCAACACCCTACCCCACTCATCCCCCAAAGCGACCCTCGAGCACCTCACTAGCAGCACTCTCCAGCAGCCAGAGTCGCGTCGCACTCAACCTCCTCAATCGCATCTCAACCCAAAACTCACTCCGCTCCTCATCCGAATCATCCCCACCCCCTCAGTTCATCGTACGCGACTTTGCATTCAAATCCTCCGACCCAAGACATCTCGGACAGCGATTAACGACCACCCCCAATCACCACCATCTCAACGGGACCGACGAAGCCAGCAGGCTCAATGAATTCAACCACCAGCTGGCCGACCAGCTCAAACAAACCCCTACCAAGTCGATGTTCTGGAACATCTGTGCTAGTCCCACCGGGCCGGGATCGACGGCCGACTCGGAATTCGATAGGGATCAAGAGGAGGCAGAACAGTCGATGGAGATCGACAAGCTGATCCACAAGAACCGCCAAAACTCATCCTCCTCGGCCCTCTCGTCGAGCTCATCGACCCCACCCTTGACAGACCCATTAACAGTCCCCCAACAACAACAACAACAACAACAACAACTGATGATAGGCGAGAACGGGGGCGAACAGATGCTGACGAGACTGACGACGAAGTGGGAGAACCTGTATGTGTCGATGTACGACTTTGTGGCCGAGGGAGAGTCGGAGATGAACCTGGCGAAGGGCGAGATCGTCTGTGTGCTCGAGATCATCTGCGACGGCTGGGTCGTCGCCCGCAAAACTAAACTGCTCATCGACGACGACGGCAAGCTCTTCTCCCCCGACCGACAGCCCGTCTCCCTCGACGATCTCAACCTTGTCCTCCTCCGCCTCCCCCTCCCTGATGATCCTCATCATCATGATCTGTCTCTCACCGGATTATGTCCTGAAAATTATCTGCTCAAAATCTCTTAAGATCTCGTCTTCTTCTTCTTCTATCTCTCTTTTGTCGCTCTTCTTTTCTTTTCTGTCTGACTACTATCTCCTTTCTGTTCTCTCTCTCTCTCTTTCACTTTCTTTCTCCCCCATCTCATCTTTATTTTTCCATTTATCTATCATGAAGTGATCCAGTTTTGTTTTGTTCTATACCTACAAGTTGTATGGAGTTTTTTTTTTTTTTACTTTCACACATTCTTCTTCTTTTTTCCCTTTCTAAGAAGAACATTTTTTTTTTCTTTTCATAGTTCTTTATAATCTTTACTTCTTTGATTACTTATTTCACATATTGTCTCCCCCCCCTTTTTTTATTAACTTCCTTAGAAAGACAAGTTTACGTCATTACAAGAAGAGCTGGATCATCTTGCTTACCACCAATTTTGTTCAGGTATTTTATTTCATTGATTATCACATACATTTTGAACTGTCTATCTATCTATCTATCTATCTATCTATCTCATATTTATCTATTTATTGAGTTAAACAAGCTACTGAAAAAAAACATGTTTTGGGCTTTCATATCCTGTGTTGTTTTGGGATCTGGTTCTGACAATCAAGCATGATCAAAGCACCTGAAGGATAACATCTGTAGTATTGCTTTGGGGTGCTTGGTCGATCCAAATATGGAGGATTGAAGTCTAGGGATGTCAGGAGGAGTCGACCAAGTGGGGACCACACAGTCTCAGGATGTCCCCAGCCCTGGTGTTTTGGTCCCCCAAGTGGAGCAGAGTTGATCCTCCAATCTCTGCAGTGGGAATGTAATTTCAATTAGAAATAAAATTGCTGGAAGGTTTAGAGGTTGATCCTCCAGAACCTCCTGGGGCAAAGGGAGTCAGCATGGGTGGGCAATCCCAACAGCCCTCCACAGGCTGTTGAGAGTACATTCTCAGCAACTGGCAGGATTCCTCTTGGCTGATGAGAGTGTACACTCTTGATGGCTGGGAGCTTGGCTGTTGAGTGTGTACACTCTCAACGGCCAGGAAGATTCCTCTTGACTACCAAGAGTGTACATTAGAACCGGAACCCATACTGAGCCCCAGTGGGTATACCTGTTGAAGTCTGAGCACCTCTGTGCCCAACCTTATTTCCCTTCAGAATAGCAAGGTCTAAACTCAAGAAATGATGTCCTCTCACCACTAAGAATTCCAGCAATCCATCCACATCTCATACTCTGATTGCTTCAATTCAAAACTTTTGACACAATTTTTCTCTTTCTCATCTTGTGGAACTTCAAGGTCACATGCCTGGACCTTACATATCATTTAGCTTTCAGTCCCACATTCTCACTCATCGTACTGACTCAATAAGTCCCTCCACTTGACAAAGCTTAAACGTTAAATCTCCCGATTACTATTACTTCATTTCATCTGTCAATCATCCTGTTATCTTCAATGCTCCCACTACAACTTGTATTGCCTTCCTGCTGCAACTCATCTTGTATCTCAACATCATCGCCAACAGTACTCATACATTCCCTTCCTTTGACCTATTACTGAACCTCAAGAAAGCCCAACTAGTCTTTTGACACAGTAGGTTTCATCAGACTCAACTCTTTTCTTGTTGCTTTTCAGAATATTGACATCAACCCTTCTTTCAGTTTCTCTTTCTTCTTATTTGAGCTCTGTGTTCTTTGCTCTATTGTTTCTTTTTTTCACCTCTCATTTTTTGCCTTAAGTTCAGGTTGGACTCATTTAATTTCTCTTCTTTCACCTGAAGTATAGGAAATACATCTTCAGTCTGATTGTTCAAAATACCCAGTCCTGTCCTGGAAGACACAGGACATGGGTCAGCTGATGAGGCTTAATGGGCCCCCAAAGGGGTTAAATGAAGAACCAACATGTGCCAAGAAAGGTGGATTTTTTTCAGACCGGTCAATTAAATAATGGGGGATTTGGATATATTTGATACCCCTTAATAAAACTATGAAATTCAAGAATTGGTATCTGTGTGTGACTTAGACAGCCCTCCTGTCTATGTAGCTTGTGGGAAATTTACACTAAGAGAAATATGAGGGTGGTGTATTTCTGAAGTAATCTTACAGCCTAGACTCTTAGTGAGGATACCATTTTGTGGTCTTTTATAAGGACACCTGTGGAAGATAAGATGGGTTGTCAAGGATGTCTGAGTAGGAAGGAGTTTTTGTTGAGGTTTTTTGTTGAATCTGTTAGTCAACTCCCTATTAACCCATATATGTATCAACTCATACTTACTAAACCATGGGAGAATAATCCACCAAATTTTCCAAATGGCTTGTAAACCCAACTTATTAACCCATAGTCCCTCATAACCCATTCCACCAAGGGGTATGGGTTGATAGGGAGTCATCTATATAAATTCTCTCCAGATCTCTGGTCTGTTAAGTGTTGAAATTATGTTCTTTTATTACTTATACTGTTTGTTCCTCTAGTTTGAATCACTAAATTATCCTACTCTAATAACATGATAGAATTCTCTTGTCACACACTTGCAGTCACAGAACCCTGTTGTAGTAGTCACAGATCAATCATTCTCAAATCATGATTTAGTTTGATCAGAAGTATTATAAATCACTAGGGAACTTGTGGCGGAGCCGCGCTCCTTCACTCAACTGGGATCACTTTACAAGTTTACATCATAACTGGACCCCCGCAGCCAAAATCTGTCATCACCAAAAACTGGGCCTGACTTCTTGGTTCCGGACTCGGTTCAACAAATCCTGGAACGGAGGTGAATGACAGGGTGTTGTTATAACTTCAGATGTGGGGTTGAAATTCCCTAGACACTGTAGTGTAGTGTTAGGTCAAGATTTATTGATCCAGTTGAAGCTCAGAAAACCATGTTGGAATAGCATGCATATGCATTGTCCAGTATGCTTCTAACCTTAACACATACAATCTTGTATATAACTCATACTAGATTGTCATTGGCGTTTTCCCTCTAGTGAATCAGAAACCATTATTTTCTCACTCTCAGGTGTCACAAGACTTCTCAGTCTGTGAACTTCAGGCAGCTCATCCTGTGTCCCCTTCAACAAACCAACCAGAATCAGATCTTGTCAGAAGACATTGTAATAGAGGAGGTACATCACGATTGTAGTGAACCTGTTTGCCTGTACCAATTTCTGTTGGGTGAATCAATCTCAATTACAACATCATCACTGACTCCCTTGATCCATAACAAGTGGACATAAGATGTGAGCAGCTGGATCCATTCTCATCTGTCCTTTGAAGAGCAATGTAGACTACTGACTATTAGAGCCACACCAGTAGGACACAGGTCAGTTGGTCAATGAGAGCCCACTTGAATTAAGAGAGGAGCCACAACGGGCCAGTCATGCTGCCCAATTGAATTCATGTACTCGACAAATTTCTCTGTTTTTAAACATTTGTCTTCACAAGCATCTTTTCTCTCCCCTTGCCTT